TTGGATCTGATATGTATTTTTTTAATCGAAGTATAGTTGATTTACAATGTTAGTTTCTGGTATACAGCATAGTGATTCAGTTACACACACACACACACACACACACACACATACATATATATATATTACTTTTCATATTCTTTTTCATTATAGGCTGTTACAAGGTATTGAATGAATATAGTTTCCTGTGCTATACAGTAGGACCTTGTTGTTTATCTGTTTTATATACAGTAGTGTGTATCTGCTAATCTCAAACGCCCAGTTTATTCCCCCCACCTTGTCCCCTTGGTAACCATAAATTTGTTTTCTATGTCTGTGGGTTGTTTCTATTTTGCAAATATGTTCATTTGTGTCACTTTTTAAGATTCCACATATAAGTGATATCATATGATATTTGTCTTTGTTTGACTTGCTTCACTTAGTATGATCATCTGCAGGTCCATCCATGTTGCTACAAATGGCTTTATTTTATTCTTTTTTATGGCTGAGTAGTATTCCATTGTGCATATATACCACATCTTCTTTATATGGTCATCTGTGGATGGACATTCAGGTTGCTTCCCTGTCTTGGCTGTTGTAAATATTGCTGCTGTGAACACGGGGGTGCTTGTATCTTTTTAAATTAGAGTTTCCTCCAGTATCTGCCCAAGGGTGGGATTGCTGCTGCTGATATGTAATTATCATACCATAACATTCATCATTTTAAAGCGGACATTTCAGTGGTTTGTGTACATTCATAAGGTTGTGCAGCTGTCACGATTAATTGCAGAATTTTTCATTCTTTCCAGAGAGATGAAACTCCTAACGTGCTTTCCGTCTCTATGGATTTGCCTATTCTGGACACTCCACGTGAAGTGATACACACTGTGTTCTCTTTTGTGTCTGATTACTGTCACTCGGCAGAAACTTTTCAAGATTCAGCAGCAAGTATCAGTGCTTCATTCCCTCTCATGGATGAATCATATTCCACTGTATTGCTAGCTATATCATATTTTATTTACAAGATTCTGCATTTCTAACAAGCTCCCAGTTGCTGCTGGTCCGCCAACCAGCAAGGCTCTGAATCACCGGAAGTCACTATCAGAAAGGAGCTCAGGACTCCAGGTGCAACCTTCTCATTTTTAAAATTCTCATGGAGGTGAAATAACTTAATTTTACAGAGTTCATTAGTGGAAGTGGAAGGAAACACTTCCCTGATCTCTGTCACCCTCCTTGGCCTACTGGGAGGGCCAGAAGAGGGTTCCCCCACACCCTCAGTCTGTCCCTCTCCCAGGACAGACTCACCTCTAGGGTTATCCTAACCCAGCCTAACTTAGGTGTGAGACGGCAGGGAGGGGCCACCCCCACCCCACCTGGTTGGCAAGGTAACCCAGGGAGGTACTGGCACTGGAGAAGGAAATGGCTTTTGTTGAATGGAACTAAAGGCAACAAAATCTTTTAAAGATATGACCCCACAGAAAGGTACCTGAGGGTCCCCCTTTCCCACCTGACCAGGCACCTCTTAGATCCCAGCTGAATAACATCTCTGCCCTTTCAAGACCATCCAGACAGCACACCTCCACATGGACTGATGCATGTCTCTCTCCAAGTGCGCGTGTGTGCGTGAACACCCACCTCAACCCAAGAGGGAAGTGGGAGTGGGGGGCAGTGGGGATGGAATGAGATGGTGGACCACTTACTTGGCCCTTGGCTTTTAGAAGATGAGGCAGAAGGGAAAACATGCCAACTACTCAGGGGACAGGCCCTGTCACTGCCGTGGCCAGATGTCTTTCTCCTGGGCACGCGGGGTCCACTCACATGGACGGCTTTCCTGGGGGGGTTCTGTTGGGCTGCACGCTGTGGTGTATATCTCGGTCAGCCCAGAGTTGGGGGCGGGGCAGCGCAAGGTGGTTCAGTCGCCAGTGCTCTGATCTGCCGTGACTTGGGACACAGTGCTTAGAATTTCTGGATGTGTGGATATCACTGTGCCTTTTAAGCCACCCTCCCTGCACGACTTGTCTCCACAAGCCCCTGGTAAGGGCTGGCTGGGGGTGTACAGTAGCCTGTCTCTTTGGGGAATTCCCGAGAGACAGCCCACTGGGCCTGAAGGGACCAGGCACCTTAGGCTGCAGGGGGCAGGTGGGTGGGCGCACTGGTTGACCCCCTCCCCACTCTGTCACAGCCTGCTGCTGAACCAGGGTGCTTGCCTGAGGAACACCTCTTTTCCTGGGTGGGTGCACACAACCTGATTTCCCAGCCAAGGCCAGCAATGCATGGAGGTGTCTTGGTTCTCCACCCACTGCTCCCCCAAGATGGGGCACATCCACACCCCTTGGGGGATAATGAGAGGAGGGGTGCCTTGTAAAACAGGTTACATGGGGGATGGTGACCACTGCTGGAGGGAAGTGTTGGGGGGAGGATCTGGCCACACATCAGGGACCCCGACAGCCAGCCTCTCCCCAGCCCCACCATGTGCTGAGGGCAGAGCACCTGCTCTCCAGAGAGAACACGCCCTTGGACAGCACAACTCACTTCCTGACCTGAGAGAGGCAGCGCGGTCACAAGTCCGGGCAGGGGGCAGTCCGGACGTGGCAGGTGGCAGGTGTCAGATGAGAGGCTGACTCGGGGCTCCTGCTTTGAGGCTCACCTGGAAGCACAACCAGAGAGGGGTCACCAGGTGCGGCAGACGCCAGGTGTCCTCCAGACCACCCGTCTCCCTCGGTGCCCTGTCCCGGCGCTCAGCAGCTGTCTCTGCAAGCCCGGCTTGTCCATCCGACCACAGGGGACACAGTGAACCAAAGGCAGAAAGAGCAGAAGGGAACACCTGGAGGCCACAGGCCACCCCCACCCTGCACGCTGCCCTCCTCCTCCTCCCCCTTTCTGTCCCTGCCCCAGCCAGACCTCTGCCAGCCAGAAACATATTAGATGATTTTTTCCTTATTATAAAAAGGTATGTCCATCGCAGAAAAAACATGAAGCTGGAGAAAGTTACAACAAAGAAAATGAAGATGGATTATAACGCATTTTCGCAGAGAGAAATAGGGTTAACACTTTGACGCCCGTGACTCTTACACACAGCAGGAAAAACCCATTCTGACCACAGGACGTTCAGAAGAGATGATCAGATTGATGGCTTTAAAGCAGGGGGTTCTTCACAGAGAGACAAGTAGCCCTGTCACCTCTCTCCTCCAGAAAGGCCGGCTCGGGGACAGTGGGCTCCCTCCCGGGTCCCCAGCATCCTGCCCTACAGCAGCCAACCCCTAGGATCCCAGGGGACCCGGAGCAAAGACAAAGGCCAGACAGGAATGGGGTGATGCTGCGGCTCCACGTGAGGTTTGGGTTGAGGTCGCGCTCAGCACCTTTCCTCGCCCCGCTGCGCGCGCCTGCTCTTTCCCGCGGGCGCGTTTCTCCCTGTCAGGGTCATCTGTTGCAACTGGACGCTCCCCTTGCCCCCAGAGTCATGAGGCTTCTGCGTAGTTTTACCCTCGTCTCCTTCCCTGTTTTTTCCCTCTGCTATTAGCAAGCCCTTCGGGGTCTATTCACCTGTTTCTTTGCACTTAGTGAACACTGCTCTCAAAACCCACTTGTTCTCTGTTTTCAAGCCACTAGTTTTCCAAATGGCACAGGATCTTGATGGCTGGTTGGCCCCAGTTGTGGGGCCCATGGGAGTCCTGACCGGAGACGCCGAGGAGGCGGACAGGTCCTCCATCGTGAGCGCGCCCTGCCCCCACCAACTTCCAAAGGGAGGAGGGAAGGAGCCTAGAAGTGAGCGGGGGCTCACCTAGAGGATGGGGACGTAAACTCATGACTTGAAGGGGCAGTAGAAGTCCTGGTCCTGGAAGGGCTGGGGGGCTGGGGGGAGCATCCGGGCCAGGCAGCGCCTGGGCTCAGACCAGCATGGCGGGCGGGCTAGGGGTGAGGGGATGGAGGACGGAGACCCCACACTCATCTGTGATGTTCTCCTTTGCTTCTTAGTTTGCCTTTTCAGATTTGAAGGAAAAGACTCCAGTGCCAGTGGTACCAGTAAATTATTCTTTGTGGAGCCAGAGGCACAAAACTGCTGAGACTGTGCCTGAGGCTTCATCAAGTCAAACTTGGCAGAGTGGAGAAGTGACAGATGAGCTGTTGAGTCCCCGGACACCAAACTACTATGTAGTTTCTATGGAGAGTGCAGTCTTTTTGGTGGGGAGAAGGTAATTAGGTTTATATATTTACTTATTTAACGGAAGGACTGGGGATTGAACCCAAGACCTCGTGCATGCTAAGCACATGCTCCACCACTGAACAGTACCCCTCCTGGCAAATGAGGCTGTTGGCCATTGCGTTTGGGCAAATTGTGGAGCCTGCTCTCGGGGAAACATCTGTCTACAGAGATAATGATACAGACTGGTTCGTTCTGCAAATTATCTCAGCTACATACACTGTATGTCACACAGTATGCACAAATTTAGTGGGTCATGTGCTTGAATGAAGAGAATGAGTTCATGCACCACTCCTAGCGAGACCCCTTTTCACCCCATCCACACAGTTATTCGACCATCCCGTAGGGTTGGGGGCATCCTCCAGCGTCAAGCAGACCAGTGGCTGCCATGCGTCTAGATGCGCTGCCTCCCCCACGGAGGGTTTATCCTCTCTGCTGTGGACTTCGGATGCCATGGCTCTCTGTGCCCTGCTAGGGGACAGTGGTGTACGCACAGAGCGAGCTGTCCAGTTAGGATGAGGTGGGTCCACCCTCTGGGACCGGTTATAGGGAATACCGTTTCTAAAGACTCCAGCTGCTAGCCACTGCATTTTATCTTACCACTTCCTCCTTTTTAAAAAATACAACACTTACATCAAAATGCTTGAATTAAAAACAAAATTGTTGAGATGAAATTCACATATTAACCATTTTATCTATTTTATATATAGTAACATGTATATGTTAATCCCAAACTCCTAATTTATCCCTCCCCCTACCCCTTAGGTAACCGCAGTTTGTTTTCTATGTCTATGAGTCTCTTTCTGTTTTGTAAATAAGTTCACTTGTATCATTTTCCCCCCCAGATTCCACATAAAAATGATATCATATGGTATTTGTCTTTTTCTGTCTGACTTAACTTCACTTAATATGATAATCTCTAGACCAATCACTTTGCTGTACACCTGAAACAAACACATTGTAAATAAATCTTCAATAAATGAATTAACCACTTTAAACTGAACAATCAGTGGCATTCAGTCCATTCACGTTGTGCAAACACCACCTCGATCTTGTTCCAATACACTTCAATCACTTTGAAATGAAAGTGAGCTGCTAAGCAGGTCTCTACCCCCGCCCCGAAGCCTGGCAACCATCCATCTGCTCTGTCCCTTTGGGTTTGCCTATCTGGACATTTCATCTAAATGGAATCATACGCCGTGTGATCTTTTGTGTTCAGATCTTTCACTGAGTACAAGGTTTTCGGGGTTCAGCCACACTGTAGCACATATCAGCACTTCATTCGTTTCTGTGGCTGAATAATATTCCATCATAAGGACATATTATTTTTTTTTATCCATTTGTCTTTTGCTGAGCACCTGGGATGCACGTACCTTTTGGCTGCTGTGAGTGGTGCAGCTCTGAACACGCACACCTGTACGTGAGTGCCTGTTCTGAACCGCTTTACATTTGCACCAGCCGTGTTCAAGAATTCCAGTTCTTCCACATCCTCGCCAAGATTTGTTCCTTTTCGGTTTCTTTGGGGGGGGCAGTAGTCATCTTGGGGGTGTGAAGTGGGACCGCACTGTGGTTTCCATTTGCATTTGCCTGACGGCTAATGACACTGAACATCTTCTCTTGGGCTTGTTGGCATCACTGAAAGAACCTGTCTTAACATTAGGCAAATGTACATTTTGTGACAACCTCAAGTTTACGGAAAGATTGCAAGTACAGGACAAATAAGATTTCTTCTGAGCCACTTGCATGTGAGTTGCCAACCCGATTCCCTGATGCCCCCAAATACTGTGTATTTCCTACAAACAAGGACCTTCTTTTACACGGACCACAATTCAACCATCAAAGTCAGGAGGGTCACCCTGGAACGTCACTACCATTTAATCTTCAGACTCCATTCAAGTTACCAATAATGTTCTTTAGAAACACATGTAGTTCTCATGTCTTAGAATGTCCCTCAGTCTGGCCTTGTTTCAGGCTCCCTCGGGAAGTCAGGTGTTGTTCCTGGGCACGGATGTCAGGGAACACGTACCGCACTGTTCCCATGTCTCCTGTCGTGAGCACCAGACTGCCAGCTTGTCCCACAACTGCTATTTATTTTTGTCTCTTGATCAGTGTGGCGTCTGCCAGGTTTTCCCACTCTATAGTTACACTTTTTCTAATTGTGAGAAGACACTTGGGCACTAAGTTTGTTCCTCAGACTCTCCATGGCTTCATGCACTGGCTGGCATCAGCAGGGACTCACGGTTTTCTGTCTATTAGGAGGCTGTCACGCCTTACTACCAGGATCTGTTTTTATTCACAAGCTGTCCCAGGTGTCGCCAGTCAGGGCCCCCTTCAAGCTGGTTCCTGTGTCTTCCTTGAGTGTCTTCCTCATCCTTTGACCCCTTCTGACAACACTCCTGTTGAAATTCCTGCCCAGCTGTTCCTCTCCCCTTCCCCCATGTGTCTCTGTGAGAGTCCAGGAGCCAGGCAGGAGGTCAGAAGTCAAGGCCGTCACCCATAGGGCAGAGATTCTCAGACAAAGAGCGCCTGCCCATGCAGGCAGTCGTAGGGAGACCATGTCCATCCCTCACTTAGTCCAGAAAGAGTCTCTGAAGGGCGGGGGCTGATCCTGATGGCACATCAGACAAATGCTGCTGAGCTAGCACACGTGACAAGAGGGAAGGGGCCGCGATGAAGCATCCCAGCCTGGGGGCGTAAACAACAGAGGTTTACTTCCTCACAGTCCTGAAGACCAGAAGCCTGAGATCAAAGTGCAGGCAGGGCTGGTTTCTTCTGAGGGTTCTCTCTTCAGCCGGCAGATGCTGCCTCCTCGCTTTGCCCTCAAACGGTCTCCCCTCTGCGCATCGGTGTCCTCACCTACTCTCTTTATAAGGACGCCAGTCCTGCTGGGTTAGGGCCCACCCACACGAGTCCAGTAATTACCTCTTTACAGGCCCTATTTCCAAATACGGTCACATTCTGTGACATTCTGAATTCAGTGGGCGACGCAATTCAGTTTGTAACACTCCATCCTCTGGACCCCCCAAATTCCTGTCCTTCTTACGTGAAAAATAAGTTCACCCCATCCCAACAGCCCCAAAGTCTTAATCTATCCCAGGATCCATTCCAACTACAAAATCTCATCTAAGTACTGTCTAAATCAAGTGTGGGTAAGACTTGAGGCATGATTCATCCTGAGGCAAAAATTCCTCTCCAGCTGTGAAGGTGTGAGACCCGGCACGTCACCTGCTTCCAAAAAAAACAGTGGTGAGGCAGGCACGGGGTAGACATCCCTGTGCCAAAGGGAGACTCATAAAGAAAGGGGTCATGGGGCCCAGGCAAAGCCCTCTGAGAGGCAGTGTGGTAGGTCAGACGGTGCCAGAGCCCGTTTTGACACAACATTCTTTCAACAGAAAAGCTATTTTTACAAAGTGGGAAGCGACTGACAGAAAAAGATGATACGTTTG